ACTTAAGAGTTGAATAAGCAGAGATTCCTTTATTGCTGGTGCACAAGTAGAGTGTTAAAGAAGACTGCCCTCTCTCTATATAAAAAAAACCACATATCTTATATACAGTTAAACCGCACAGCTTCCGTGCCAAGAACAGCATAGTGACAAAAGATCAGTATCTTGATGTATGCAATAAAAACACAGTGCCCTGTAATTAGTTGCCTCTAAACCTACTCATCCTGCTATGGTCCGTTCAGTCTACTTCTGAATCAATCACCCTAAAGTAACCATTCACCCTAAGGTGATAACCCACCTTTACCTATTTCCATTATGATCATTGAATAGATAAACCAGTTTATTGTAAAACTACTTGGAGCAAAGTCACACAGTGGGCAAACATGGCTGATAGAAGAATAAGATGGTGGCTGAGGAGCTAAGACACTTTCTTAACATTCACAATGGTCTCATACATGTGTGTCCGAACAGTCTCTCAGCATGCACAGACATCCTAAAATATTATGTTGCTTTCTACTTTTTTTTATATTTAGGAGCTGTGCCAAGTTGTGAAGCTGCCACACAGACTGAACGAAGGCCTCCTCTGGAAGCTGTAACTTTAAGACGAGCTTTGAGAGCAAAAGCTGCCAGATCAAGACCTCGTTCTCTAGTGGATTACAAATCTTACATTGACACTAAACTCTTGGTGGCTCGGTTCCTTGAAGAGCCTTCCTGCAATATGACTCCTGACATACAGGAACTGGTGGAAAGCATAAAGACTGTTCTAAAGTCAGACGAGGAACATATGGATGAAGCCATCCAAAGTGCCAGCTTTCTGGACCAGGTAGACTAGCTCCATTTTCTGTGACCCACAATTCTTTTTAGCTTGCATAGATTTTTTTTTTTAACTTAAAGAAACCCTGTTCACCAATATAACAAGTGTATGTAACAGGATTTGGCCTCACATTCATGCCTTATTTTGTCTCACTGTTCAAATATTTTAGTTTTGCTTAAAACACTAAAAATGTTTTGCAGCTTTCTAAAGCATAACCCAGTACCTTTTAATTGCAGTTTATCCTTGCACAAAGCAGCTTTCTTATTAGACCTATTTGGAATATGTACTCAGCCCAGCCAAGGAAAGATCAGTGTGAGCTTTGCTGCAGATTTGTCTCCATCACTGTGGTCAAACACTGGCCTCGTAGCACAGCTTTGAAATACTATGCAAATAATAAGAGCATAGGGTACAAATAATAAGAGGAGAGTGATTGGCATCCTAGTTAAAATGAGCAACCTAACATTTTGTGCACTTGTGTCTGTCTTATTGTACAGGTGATGGTTCCAGAACAGCAAGTTATAACATCTACCCACAGACATTCATGTAGAAGATATCCAGGTCTCCTCCACTTGGAAAGCTGTGGGGACTTAAGCACATTTTGTACCGCAGAGACACGCAAGAAAGTGAGAAGTCGACGGACAGTCCGTGAAAGACCTCATAGCCTCATTGGTGTTGTGCGTGAGACAGTTTTGTGAACCACGCTCTAAAAGGCACTAGCCTCAGAAGGGCAAGCTGAGTCTCAAATTAGGACTAAACAGGAACATTGCAAGGAAATATGCAATTATCCAAGTACTTTGTCCTTCCTAAATCTAAATACTTGTTTTTTGTTTGTTTTTTTAACTGTATGAAGACCCAGAAATCATGGTTGCCCCCAGAATTTCAAAGAAGACTTTATGTATCTATATATGTATATAAATATAATATATGTGGGTGGCAGGATAGCCGCATACATGGAAAAAGCGTAAGATTAATATAGTCATATATGCCACTATTGTATTCCTTTTATTTACAAGGAGTACTGTAGTAACTTAAGAGTCTCAGGGTTTTGTAATACTGTGAGACAAGACATCGTCCACTGTAAGTATGAATTTGCACTCTTTTCCTGGCATGAACATGAAATGCTGGAGTTAAAGATGCTACCCCATTGAATAAGCTAATGTACTCTACATTGCTTTCAATCTGAACTGTAATAAAGGATATATATTCAGTCAGACCTTAGCACTGCAGATTTTTATTTTGTTAGTTTGTTATTAAAAATGGACCTACATGGTAGAGTTGTCCATATTTTTCCACTTAGCAGGAGTTTGATGTAGGTGGCATAAAAAGGTATATATATTTTTTCGACATGTGCACATCATTGTGATGCTTGATCTAGAGTGGTTACCAAGAAAGATTATTTTATCTTTTAGTTTTGGCAGTCATTGCCTCTTACTTGAAGGTGCCTTAGGCATGTTATTAAATTAATAAGTGCATCTAGATCAGGGGTGGCCAAAAAGTAGACTCCAGACCTACAACTTCCATGATGCTTCATTACCTGTACTCTAGCAAAGCATCATGGGAGCTGTACTTCTGCAAAAAAGCAGGGACCTACGTCCTGGTCACTTTTGATCCCGTGTTTCAGGTTTGAATTTTGTATGAATTCACTGCATTTTAGTCTATCAATACTGGAACAATGAAAGACCCACTCTTGGCTGGAGGGGCACTATAATTATGCTTATATTTTTTCAGAACAAAACTGGAGATTTTCTACACTTTTCTAATTGTAATTGCTATAAATTTAGCACAGCCCATCAGAACAACTTCAGCTGAGAATGACTGGCAGCTTATTTCACTATTGATGTGTAATTATATAATGTTTTCATTGGATCATCTAATATCTTGAAATATCAATAAAAGATGGCGGTTGATCAAATGTAAAAAAGGTGCCTGATACCAATATTGGCTATATATAGAGATATATTTGTGTGTTTGTCTGATGTATAATATATTTCTCATGGCAAGGTTAATATATTGAATTCTCAATAGTTCCTTTTTATATATAGAAAAATTACGAGAAAAATCCTGACTTACCCAATATGAATAATAATTTATTTAGATTTAATACGTTACTTGGTATTAACATCTCATGTGGTAATGCCGATCACATACCCAGCTCACATTATGACATCAGATTTATTAGTTAGTGAGTGACATCACAAGCACCATTTCACTGCCCAGGTAGCCATTTGCAGCTAGCTGTAATCAGGGAAAGGTATCTGAAGGAGTATATGAATGTAAAAGAGTGGTTAACTGAGGAATACAAACTAATACAATGAATATATGATAGGAAGAACATTAAGCAGAGCAGATAGAGCTTCCTGAAATCCCAGGTCTGCCTCTCACTAAAATTGTGTTCAAGTCTCTGCACCTTTTTTTCTACAAAGTCACATTTAATTTTGGAAAGCTGAGTGTGCGGTAAGTAGACATTGAATGAAATATACTTCTTTTTTATTTTTATTCTTTATTTTTTCTCACGGCAGGTACAGTTCTATGCCATTAACAGTTGGGCTTGTGCAAAAGCCCTAAATACAAGTCGTACTTATTAACATTGTGCTATAACATGCAAGCTGATAGGCCCGCTCATTCTTTACAGAGAATTCAAACAATACTGTCCGCCGGGGATTTTTTGATATTGGGTCAGGCACCAGGCTACATATAAAACATTGATCCCGACGTAGCATTCAATAACCCATTTGTTTCAACGTTCTTTTATCTATCTTATTAGGCCCGTCTGCAGCCTATTCCCTTGTAGCGCAAGGAAAAAAAAAGAAAAAGGAGAAAAGAGGAAAGAAGGAAGAAGAGGTAAAGTACAAGATGGAGCGGGGGTGGGGGGAACCCACTAGACTGTTGTCACACGGTTCCCAAATCCTCATGGTCCCTTTTACCCTGGCTGTCAGGTCATCCATTAGTTTGCTTTTTTTAATCCTAGGGAGTACGCCCGATAACGTCGGGCCCTCCGGTGACAGCCACGCAGTTGCTACTCCTCTACGTGCACTTAAGGTGATCTTATGCACCAATTTCTGTTCTTTCCTGGTCCATCCCTCCAGTGATCTATTTAACCCCTTAAGGACCAAACTTTTGGAATAAAAGGGAATCACGACATGTCACACATGTCATGTGTCCTTAAGGGGTTAAAAGGTACACCTAGGGGTCCAGGTCCAGGGGCCTGTCAAATATCTGTTTCAGTAAATCCTCAACTGATTTCCAGAAGCAGCATATAGTCGGGCATTCCCACCACATGTGGATGTATGTTCCTCTAGCCTAACATCCCCTCCAACAGTTGTCCGTGTCCATTTTTTGCATTCAGAAAAAGCTTCACAGGTGTAGTATACCACCTGAACATAGTGGCACTACATTTTGTTTAGGGTTAACCCCTTCACTGCCTTTATACTTTCTATATATTAGGCTTGCACTCTGTCAATACCACCTGAACATGGTTTTCCAGGACTGCTCTTGAAGTGTTACGCAAATGGAAGCATTTTTATTTGCTTCCCAGATCTCCTGCCACTCGATGCCCTCTAGAACCTCCCCTAGGTCCGCCTCCCACTGGTCCGTGTATGTCAGTCTGCCCCATTCTGTATTTTCTGCGCGAAGGTGAGCGTACAGCAGCGTTATTAATCCCTTGGGTGCTGTCCCCGCTTCACACAGCCTCTCGTAAAAAGTGAGTGTCCCTTGGGCCGCTGCTTTGATATGTGGTCGTCTAGCAAAATCCCTAAGCTATATATATCTAAAGAAATCGGCAGGTGTTAAGTGGTGACGTTGCTGAAGGTCGTTGAACTGTACTAACTCTCCATTCTGATATAGGTGACAGATCCTTTGGAGGCAAGTGCTCTCTGTTACGGAATTCCCTAGCGGCCATTCCGGGGAGGAACTCCCTGTTTCGAAATAGCGGAGTTAAGGGGGAGGGTGACGAGGCCAGTCCGTACTTAATGTTGGTCGCATCCCATATTCGTAACGAGTTGAGAATCGCTGGGCAGGTCACCCGTATCATGGGTCTGTGTTCCCTGGGAACCCACATCGTGAACTGGGGGATGTCGGATGCCACCATTAGTGACTCTATTTCAACCCATTTCCTTTCGTCCGGTGGGGAGTGCCACATAACAACCTGCGACAGTTGTGCCGCAGTGTAATAAAAGTACAGGTTCGGGAGGCCCAACCCTCTCCTGTCCTTCTGTCTGTACAATACCTGTCTGGAGATTCTATATCTTTTATTCTGCCAGATGAAATTCCCTATTGTTCATTGTAATGGTATCAATTGTGCTTTAGTAATGCGAGTGGGTAGCGCCTGAAACAAACAGTATACGCAGGAGAATATTCATCTTCATCGGAGTGAATCCACACTATCCACGAAATAGGCTTGTCCGTCCATTTTTTTTTTTTTTAGATCGCTAATCAATGTCTGTAACAACGGGGTGTAGTTGGCTGCATGCAGTTGTCCAGGATCAGCCGTCCGTTGGATCCCCAAATATTTTAGGGAAATCTTTTTCCATCCGTACTTGGTAAGTGTCCCGTATCTGGGACTTGTCTGCCGCTGGTACTAGACTTATGAAGGTTTGCCTTATATCCGGACACCTCCCCATATTCCTTTATTAAGTTCTGAAGTGCCTCCATCGGATTCGTGAGAGTTAGAAGTACGTCATCCGCGTAGGCCGATGCCGTGAATTCTCTACCGCCAACGTTGACTCCCCTAATATACGGGTGCTTCCGGATCCCCTGTAACAGGGGCTCCAGTGCTAAAACAAAGAGGAGGGGGGAGAGTGGGCACCCCTGTCTGGTGCCATTGTACAATCTAAAAGGGCGTAGCGGAGCTCCCGCAATCTGCACCTGTGCCTGCACTTTGTGGTACACATTGGCAGCTCTAGACTTTGAGGCCTTAGGCGAAACTCAAACAAGAGGCCCCACTAACACTCATAGTAAAAAAGTGGGGGGCAGTGTGACAGTGTGGGATACAGTGTAGAGAGGGCAGGGTGTGTGACAGCATGAGGGGGCAGTGTGTATGACAGTGTAGGGGGGCAGGGTGTGTGACAGTGTAGGGGGGCAGAGTGTGTGGGATATAGTGTGTGTAACAGTGTAGGGAAGCGGGGTGTGTGTGGGGGGCAGGCCAATGTGGGTGCAGTGTATGTTGTGGGCAGACCATGTGGAGGACCGAAGATCCGACAGTTCAGTCTGCCCTAAGGCAATTTAGGCGGCCACAAGGCCCCAGCAAGCGCCTAAATCGCCTAATTAGAGAGCCACCTCTGGTGGTACATTGCTTTGATTGTTATGTACTCCTCTGGGAAGCCTAGATGTGTCAACAAGAAGAACAGATACTGCCACCGGACCCTATCGAAAGCCTTTTCGGCATCGATTGAAGAATGAAATATACGTCTATATTTAAATTTAAACTTTTTACCTTTGCTGTAGGCTCAGTACAGCGGAGTTTAAGCAACTGGATGTCAATTATTCATGTTTTTGTTGTATATCACCCACAGACCTTTGGTAATGGCGGCTCTGGAGCGAAGGACAGCAGGTAAATAAAATAAATAAATTTTCATAAGTGATATGATATATCCTGTTTTGGAAACTGCAATATGCTAAATTGTACCTGGACATTTTAAGAGAGCGCATTCTTTGGGTCTATGTTCCACTGTAGTATTAATAAAACACAGAGGAAAGGCCAGCAGTGAGCACATACTTCTTTGTTTGATACTGATACAATTGGCTCACTTTCAATCGCTGTCAGCTTCCTGATGTCATCTAGGGAGGTCTAAACTTTCTCTCTTGTCACTCAATGTGTTCAGCTGTTATTCCGAGTGCGGCCTGATACATTCAGTCATCATGTGTTAAGTCCACAAATCCTCTACATACTGAACTAGTACCTTTACTGAGATAGTGGAGTAAGAAATCATTCAGGATAATGCTTGGAAGAGTTGAAGATAACTCTGTAAGTTTAATAAATTCATAATCCTTTTCTTGTTAGAAAAAGACATTTATCGAAAAAGACTTCCTCAATCATTTAATTACATCTTATTATTGCATGCACTTATGCCCTATTATACATGTGTAATATGTGTTCGATGTACTATTTAGAATAGGTGCATATAGGTGCAATTTTTTAATTTTTAAAATCTTTTGATGATTTGATACAAAAGTAAAACAAATGCATCCAATGACTAGATACAGATTATTTAGCAATCTAGGGATTGAAAATATACACAAAACGGGAGATCGCAATCAAATTAATAAAAGAAAGTTAATAATTAAATATAAAGATAATATACCAAATGTAAAACAATAAGCTATACACACAAGAAACTTCCTTAAAAACTTCACAATGAACAATATTAAAAATAAGTGTAAGCGCTATACTAGAAAACCCCTAAATTGTGTGTTTCATATGTAATTTATGAAATAAAAACAACTGTATATGCACTAATGCAATTGGTAAAAAAAAAGACCTTGAAGTCGATCAACAGCATATAAATTGCAGCGTGTGTTATTTCAAAAAACAGTTTAAATACTCAAATGTCCAAGAGTCCTTGGGTAATAACACAGAGGGTTAATCTTGCCACACAGATAGGATCCACAGTTTTGAAATACACTGTACACCACAGTGATTACCGTACCTTAAAAAGATCCACATAGCGTAACAAGCAATGTCAATGAATGTATCACTTGCCACTCCAAACAAATAATTTATTTGCAATTCGTGACCAGTCAACAAAATTTCAGCAGCTAGAATCTGTGTTCAACTCCATAATTATGTATTCTGCAGAAATAGGGCGTTAACACAGAGTCGTAGAGGGTTTAGCTAATTGCTGGCTCTGCACTGTAGGGGATGATATCAGGGACAGTTGTTGTGGTTCTTAGACTGTTCCTTTAAAAAAAATTGAATATGTAAAAAAGCATTTGAGAGCAGCTCTAACCCTAGTGAACAGACACAAGCCTAAAGGAAAAAAGCCACTTACTTGGCATGGAAATGTATCTAGCATAGCTGCCACCAGCACTCCAGCTGAGCAAACCCAGTGGCATACAGGAGGTCAGGAAGAAAGATGTCATGTTCCTGCAGAATCTTTGGAACTAAAATCACGTGGCATTGTTCAAAACAAAATTACATGCTGGAGCCTTCTAGACAGAAGCGGTAGGGATCCCAGTAAGTTACTGAAATCTTACAAAGGGCAATCTGGAAGCATCATTATCCTATATCGGGCAGGAAACAATGAGTTATTCTTAAACTTACAAATGACAGATTCTTGTAAATATTAAATGCGCCATAGAGGAGTTATATTCACTCATCATTTTAAAGGGGCACTCGTAGTACTTGTATCACACTACAGCTCAGGATAGTGGTTATTAAGATTAAGATGTTTTCGTGCCAGGAGGTCCCAGGCGCTGGCACACCTTTTAGGGGTTAAACCATTTAGGAACCGTTTACCCTCAATGTCTGTGCTTCAGTGCCAGATCTCGCTGCCCTCCTGTCCTTCCATTTGCTGAAAAGAGAGCCGCCTCTGGTGGTGCTGCCCCTTCTTTCTCCTTGCAGACCCTTCCTGCTTCTTGCTGCCTCTTCCTACTCCTTGCAGACCCTTCATAATCCTTACTGATCCCTCTTGCTCCTTGCAGACCGTCCCTACCCCTTCCTGCTGCTCCTTCCTACTCCTTGCTGACCCCTCCTGCCCTTTTCAGACCCTTTCTACTCCTTGCTGACCCCTCCTGCTCCTTTCTGCCTCTTCCTACTCCTTGCTGACCCCTCTTGCTCCTTGCAGACCGTCCCTACCCCTTCCTGCTGCCCCTTCCTATTCCTTGCTGACCCCTCATGCCTCTTGCAGACCCTTTCTACTCCTTGCTGCCCCTTCTACTTTACCCTCCTGCTCCTTGCAAATCTTTCCTACCCCTTCCTGCTTCTTGCTGCCCCTTTCAATTCCTTGCTGACCCCTCCTGCCCCTTGCAGAACCTTTATGGTCATTTCTGCTCCTTCTACTTCACCTGCCTCTGTGCTGCTCCCCTGCGGTTTCAGTCATGAGAGAGAAGCAGGGATAAGCTGTAGCTTCCTGCCTTTCTCCATTCACAGTGCCACCTACTGGCCGATGCCGGTATTGCAGTGCATTCTCACACTGAAACCAAAACTAGCAGCACAAGCTGAAAAATTCAGGGGGGGCGGCAAGTGCCCCCTCTTGCCCCCCACCCACCCCCTGCCGACTCCCATGAATGTTTGGATGCATTTTAGACCCAGGAAGGATCTCTAACGGCTATCTATGGATTGGCCAGTGAAGTTATCACTAGGCTGTAATGTAAACACCGCATTTTCTCTGAAAAGACAGTGTTTACTGCAAAAAGCCTGAAGGTTTTACTCACCAGAACAAATTCAATAAGTTGTTCTGGTGACTATAGTGTCCCTTTAAAGAAACACTCCAAATGCCATAAACACTATGCACCACTACTCTTGTCCCACAAATGCCCTGGTGCTGCCTTAGTGTTTTGGTGGTGGTGTGTTTTTTATTTTTTTAAGTGTTTCGAACAGTTTGACAACTTACCTACTTCTGTAGGGCGCCCTGGCCTGTAGTCCCTGTTTCTAGAATGAGGTGAGAATCCAGAAACTGCACTGAACTAAACAGAGCCACACTCCTTGGTTTAGAAAGGAGAGCAGAGTGGCTTGACAAATGGTCAGCTGAACGGTTTGACAAAAATGTGTACATGGCTACAGAACAACAGCCCCCGGTATATTATTTGCTTATTTAAATAATTTTAACTATCCACATTGATTCTAACAAGATTGCCAACAATTTCCGATAAAAGGCAGACTCCCTGATCATATTTTATGGACATACAGATAGTGAGTTGCAATTCAGTAGGCATGGTCTGTCATAGAATCTGACTGCTGCTCACTCAGCTGTGTCTGGAGCAATTGTAGTGTATGTATCGATCTGTTCTGCCAACGACAAGTCAGAGCATTTACATTCTTTATATTCAGTCACACATAAAGGTCATCCATCCAAAAAATGCTCTGGAAGATGAGCAGTTCTGGGGTATTTCATTGAATGCCATTGTATCAGATGTTTAAACTTTAATGAGTTCTATAAAAAAAAGACAATTTCTTGCATTTCATTATGAATGAGTTCCAGATCTGTTCAGGTAGAAGATTCCATACATAGAGGGTATAGGAACAGTGTAATATTTATATCCTGCTGTACTGTAACATTATTACACTAAAGACAATGTTTATTCATATTATGTAGACCTTTTGCTGTTAGGGCATGTTTTCATTATCAGCTTTGTGATTGATCAAATTATGCAAGGATTGTTATTGCATTTAACCCCTTAAGGACACATGACATGTGTGACATGTCATGATTCCCTTTTATTCCAGAAGTTTGGTCCTTAAG